TAATTTAATGACAAATTTATTCAAATTCTGATTTTAGGAACTTTAATCAACATTTAACAATTTGGAGAAAATAGTTCGAGGGTTATAAATAATAATTATTATATATAAATAATAATAAATATTTAGTATTTTTTAAAACCATTTATTTTGTTACACCTGTATAATATATTATCTTTATTACATACATTTAAATTACTCTGCATAACTAAGAACTTCTTTAAATTACGATTGAGATACTCCCATCAAAATTCTCAGAAAAATCATCTTCTTAATAAATAATAATTAAAAAGTTGGTTCTCATTTGAAAAAAAGACGTTTTGTGTTACCACATGATTAGATATTAAATGATATAAAAATCTGATATATCTAAAAATATTTTAAAGATAATTAAATATCTGAACGTTCTTAAAAAATTCAAAAACCATAATTTAATAATATTATTAAATAAAAATAGGAGAGTGAGCATGGTTAGGGAATCATCATGTGTATAATATATTATTATTATATATATATATATATATGTACATTAGAAAAAACACTTTCACGTATTTTTATATAATGAAAAAAGTCAATAGGGATTAAACACAAAAACCCTCACATGTACTCCACTGATTCTACATAATATTATATACCAATAGATACCAGAATTATTATCTAAATTTGAATTATATGTCCAATTAGGTTTGTCATATAGGATAAAACTTTGAGGATCAGCAAAAACATCGAACATCCTTTAATCTTTTCAATCAACTGATAAAATAACTACTAATTATTAATGTACCACGAGTCTTGAAAATACAAAATCTCCCATGGTTTAACCTTAAACCACTGTACGAAAATTTCATACTGCTACTTTTGCACCATTCAAATCCTCTTATCGGCGATCAACATACTCATTAGGTACACTTAATAACATCACTATTCCATTTACATAGAAATGGCCCTAGATAATATTATACATCAATTACTTATAATACAATTAAATTTAAAAAAAAAATTATAATATAATTTGGTTTTTGAAATTATTTCCATGCAGAATTTTCACCCTTGTTTTCAAGACTTAAAACAAACACTATTGTTATTGTCGTATTTCGCTTACAAACTAGTTTGAACTCCGGATTTTCCAGATTGTGTATTCAAATAAGAAAATAAAACAATCATTTTAGCTGGTATTTTAATGTATCGATGAATGATAAAAAATAATAGTTTATAGTTTTATAGTATTTTTTATTATTATTCATGTACAACATCAACTGCTAGGTTATGGGCATAGTTTATATTATTTGCTATTTAGTTAAACGTTTAAATGAAAAATTGAACAATTATTCCAGATATATTGTGGGTAAGTGTATGTTTCAAAGATTAATAACATTTTTTTTTAGTTATAGATAATATTATTTCAAAGAATTTGTCTGAGTGGTGTTTAATTATTTTATTTAATTAAATTCTGGATTCTATAACAATTTTTTTATACCTTTGAATATTTTTTTCATTGAGTTATATTATAATATGTCTTGGCATTTACGAAATAAAAGAAATCAAGCTTATCTTTAGAATGCACTATACATACATTTATTAAAAACACACATTTTAGTATTAATTTTGGACATTAAAAATAATTTAAATTCAATGTTTTTTTAAAAATAATAATTTATTATGTTTTAAAAAAGAATACATTTATAAAATATTTAAAACTATTTATAGTGTATACAAAATAAGTTTATATATTATTATACTGAATAAATATTGTCTAATTCATAATAATATTGTTTAGGTCATTGTGATAAAATTATTTAAAAATTGTTGTACTTTAATTTTTTATATACTCAATATTCCTAACTATAATATGCTCAAAGCACTTAGTTTCAAACTATGAAACATTGACTAAATAAGAAAAAAATGTGTTGGAAATAATTACTAGCTAAAATATAAAATAGTTTATCATGCATTTTAAAACTGTTTTTGAATATTAGATTTAAAAAAAAAAGTTAAACCATTTTTAAATTGTTTATAATTATGTAAATAATAATAATTTGTATAATCGCATTAAATATTGTCAATTTATTTCATGGATGGAAAAATACACCAGGTATTTATAATTGTACAGATGTAAACCTTTTTTTATTAAGTATAATTATTGTGTACACTGAATAAATAGAGTATACGGCACAAAAAATATAATTTTTGAATTTATCATTTTATTTATTGTTCAATGAAAAATGACATACTAAAATTGATTACATATTATATATTGTGTTCATATTATGATATTTTTATTTTGCATGTTGAGATCTTAATTAAACTATTTTATCATAATTTAATATCACAGTAAATCATTAAAGAATATCGATTGATTAATTACAACAAACGTATATTATATCGTACATTTAAATTACCTAATATTCATTATAATATTATTATATAGTGGTATATTATTTGTTACAGTATAAAATAATTATCAGGCAGAATAAAATGAGCTCAAAGGCTGCGCACCTGGCAGCATAACGGACGGATACTAAATTATATTCTCATTAAAAAAAGTAATCGACCAGATGAGTAAAATTAAAAATATATCTTGAATAAAATGAACGAATCAAATACCTTTTTAATGACTTCAAACAAATTTTAATATCTTACACTCTCTTGGAAACCAAAATTGGCGAAAAATAGTATAAAATAATTTTATATCTCATCATATAAATAAAATAAATATTAATAAAATATTAATACATTTCTATTAATATAATTGCATATTGTGTTAACATTAGCTCAACAGTTAACACTGTCGTATAGTTATTTTACGCTACAACCCATAATAATTCAAATTAATTTGTGTTTCGTATATTTAAAGATGTTTTTCATTACATGATATTAAGACGTGGTAGTTTATCTCTAGTTCCCACGATTCATGTTAATATTTGCTATCCGTCGATATTCGCCATGTAGAGGAACAGAATAGGTTAGATTAGGTCTTGTACGAATATTTGGTATGTTTGGTATTGGTCATCTTCCCCTCGTATTATCGGTAAAGTGACAGGAGTCAAAAAAACATGTACTTTATACTTACATATATTTCTCAAATACAAGAGTGGCAAGAATGATCTATTTGACTATATTCGAATGATTTGACGATTGTTAGAATATTCGTATACGAGTATAATATTATTTTCGTCAAGTACACGAGTCATGGGAACTCGGCTATACTTAGACTAAATGATAATATAATACTATTATGTTTTATATTCGTTTCTAATTTTGCATCCACATTGTGGGTAGTTATGTTTACTATATGTCTTAATCGTTTGTATTAGCCTATACGGTTTTATAGTGTATAGGAATTATATACTCTGATAATGATTTTAATAATACGTTAAGATTTATAACAACCCCATTCGACGACATCAATACATTGCTACCTGCTACTCAGACACTCGAGCACTGCTGTTTGAACACTGCCGTATATTAAAAATTCGATACTTTATATTTATAATCCCAAATATAATATGACGTAGGTATATTATAGCTTAGTAGGTAAGTACGTCATAAAGTAAACAGTATCAATAATATACAACAGAAATCAAGACCGATGCACTACCTGTTGATGACCGGGAAAATGGGATCCGAGGGGCTGATATTGTGTCGTGTTACACCGGACGACTCGACACTGACAAATACCATAAGAAAATATGACGTAAACATCCGTGGTATAAGAACACCAGGAGCCATCAGCTTCAGTAACAAAACAGTCACAGATGAACCACTATAACCACGAAACCGTGATAAACATTGGGTTCCTGCACGGTGAACGTGATTTAAAATGGGAAGCATTATATTAATATTGTCGAATTGTTTTCATCCGTTTCTGGAGATGGGGCGTAGCACGTATTGTGTGTTATAAATTCTAATAACAATATTATATTTGTTCACCACGGTCTGTAATCAATACTGCACCGGATTTGTCAGAGCAAACGTCTATGTGTAGGTAATCAACGAATTGTCTAGCTTTAAAAATAGTACACATAATATTGTCATCGTCAAAACGTTTTTTACGCACGTGTGCGTTTCCATCGCGCCCGCGCCTGGTGCATCTCAGCCGGTGCGACGCTTCGCGTCATCGGCGTTATCGACGAACCTCACGAACTGCGCGACGGTTGTGTAAGGACCAAAATGTTGGAGTGCGAAAAAGTATTTACAAATTTGATCGTTTCTACCACCATACCATATGCATAATATATTTCTCCTAATTATTAGTTTTCATCGAACAGCTGGACGGTTCGTCGTTTAATATCTTCCAAAATATATTTTTTTTAATAATATGTACCATTCGTATGTTGTGAAGTTTTATTAAAAAGGATATTATTCAATAATAATAATATTATTATTGACCACAAGTTATACAACTGATTATGATTGTGGTACCAAGATATTTTTCATAAATTCACAAAAGAATTTGGTCATCATTTTATTTTACTATTTTGAATTTTGTTTTATAAATATACATGAATATATATGATATTATATATTTAATTAAAATATGATAATATTCATCGTGCAACTAGGTCAAAGTTGATTATAATAAATAATAATAGTCAAAAATATACTTGTTTGTTTGAGTTTATTGTTAGAAATACCAATACGTAGTAATATAATTGAATATTCTGTTAAGATTATCTACATTTTGTGTCTGGGGATGTGAGAGGTGAAATGCAAAACCATCCAAAAGGCTATACGTCCATTCGTCTTACACTTGGGACACAGTTAGATTGTCATTCGAGTCAGTTTCAACCTATTTTTTTCCAATCCGAGCATCATAATAGTGTAATGTAGGGTTTTCCCGAGTACATATACCCTATTATATAAAGTTGTATTTTAATTCATTATTCAAATACACGAGTTCACAGTACGTGATCGCGTTGTGCGGCGAGCCCATTTTCTAGTTACACGAACCAAGGTGACAATTTGTGTTATTATGTTACCTGAAGAATACTGTTGAAACTTACCGAAGAAATGCTCCAAAGTCCGTCTTCAACGCCGGATATCTACTCGACGACGATTTATTTGCACTCGCGCACACGACACTACACGTGACGGACGGAGACGGCAGACTGCGAATTTGTCTTCGTCTCGCCTCTCGGATCTTCCCGGTTCGCAATAACTATTATTTCACCGACACTACGGTGACGGTGTACTAGGTTATCCGACGGGTGCGCACGAAATATTATATTTTCCGTTAAAATTTTTCTCGTTTCATTTTCCGACACTGTTTTTCAAAAAACAAATTGTCTAGTTTTAGCTCTGCCCCGGTGCGTACTGCTAAAAATCCCGTTCGGTTCACAACATCACAATGGACACGATCTGGGAACACTACGGCGGCGCCGGTGGTCCGGGAGCGGTGGCGGCGTCACAGTCGGCGGCGGCGGCAGTGGTTATTCGGCGGTCCCTTTACTCCGAGGGGAGGATAATGCGGTGCGCGCGCATCGCGATACGCCGCCACCTCACCGCCACCGACACCAACGCCTCACTATTCACTATAGTATAACTACGCTTAAGTTCTCGTCCCGGAATCCAACCCGCTGGTTCGTTTCTTTTTACCAGTTTATTTTTCTTAACATTTTTTTTCTCATCAATCCCTTTCACCCAGTTTTATTTTTTCGTATTTTTTTTTTCAGCCCCTCCATCATCATAACAACTCTACACGTACACTTTAATATTATATAACTCGCGAACATTATAATATAATCGTCGTATTCCACGGTTGCAAATATTTCGTATTCCACGTCGAGATTCATAATATTACGTTGTTATTTTTCGCACGGACATACTACAACTTTTAATTGGCAGGTATATACCTATAGTATATGCGGCAGAATGTGGAGGTATAGCCTTTGATATGGTTAACGCGAGTCCGGGCGATTCTCCGGCGTCGGTGGAAAACAGTCGTGTCGGCGATGAAGCATAATATACCATAGGATGATAAGTCGTATCTATTCTGCCATATACCTAGGTACTAACTTTCTATAACTGCAATTTCGTTATTCTGTCACGTGACCGTTTCCGAGTGACCGCGCGTGTGGTAAATATTTGTAAAATGCTTTTGATGGCTGATCCGAATTTATTTTATTTTATTTTTAGCTTTTTCCTCTATTTCTCTGATACTTTTATCTCGAAATAAGTTTGTATGAATAAATATATATAAGTATTAGATTAGAAAGTTTTGAACGCTTCGCCAAGCGTGTTAAGAACATTTTATAACGCATTACGTTAGAGGTTTTTATTGTTTTTGTTTTATTCCACACGAAAGGTTAAAATATATATGAGCAACAAGAGTTAAAATTGATCGTATGACAAATAATTAAACTTTAAATATTATGGTTAAACAATAATTCTATTAATTCTATAAATGAAATATGTACTCGGTTTTTAATCATTTAAAATGTACTATGACCTCATATATGTTTAAGGTGAAAAATCATTTCAACTATAAATTAGTGTGAAAAGATAATTCAGATTCGATGTTCGTCCAAGTTAATGTTTGAAAGTATATTGTACCTAGTATTAATATTTAAAATAATTTTCATTAAATAAGCAAAATAGAAAAGATTAAAATGTATAAATGGTAATATGGTATAAAAAAAATAGAGGTTCAAACGTAATGAGTAAATATGCCTTATCATATTTACTGTTTACACCAAAACTATGAGCTCCAAATACGATTTCCAGTGTTTCAATATAATTTTTTTTTTGTCAAGTCAAAAGTCACATGTAATATTAATATTCATAAGATTAAGAAGTTTCCATAGGACTGTGAACAGTATTCTCGTATCCTATATAAATACCACTGCGCATCATTTCACTGCTTCAGAACGGCAGTTTCACACCCTGCGTTCACTTAGTGTTATGGTGTTACCTCAAAGAGGAGGTTTATATCGGGAAACATCGTATTCTTAAGGATCTTTCTGCAAGCAATTACAAGGGAAATTCATGCGATTCCAGCTGAAATATTAGAGATTCATATGAACAACTTTCAACTCGTTTATACGGGACAGTCAAAGCTTAGACGACTTTATTTCACTGTAAATTCAAAATGTCTATGTAATAACTAAGTTGTTTTATGTAAATAATATTTGAAAACAATTTAAACCAATTTTTGCTTAAGATAAAGTGATTTGTTGCTTTTTGAAAATCATTATATTAGGATGCTTCCCTGATGGATCTTGTACTGTAAAAATATATGCAGCTTAAAATATACACAGTAGGTACTATGCACATTGCAAAATTCGTCTTCCAAAATGCCTATCAACTTACTGTCATATGCAGATATTATGTCGTTTAAAAGTTCTGTAAAAAGCTTGTTTTCTGAAAAAGCACTTAAGGGTTACACCAGTCACACATACTAATACATAACTTTATACACGTATTCACATGTGTATGAAACTATTGAAATAAAAATCTTACACAATAAAAAACATATAAAAGTATAGAACTAATTCATTTTTATGATCAATTTAAATATTTGTTAATTTACATAGAACAGTTTTGTCTCGTTCAAATATTTTGAAAAACTAAGAATTATTTAGTCCTTTTATGTTATTATCGCAATTACTTATTTAAAACATAGTGTTATTATGATAAGCAAGTATAAATTATTCACCTGTTGTAAATAAGTTCTATGTTAAAAAATATTTATATTGCACCAACCAATCTTAACTTAGACAGTGTAACATACTTCATAATAATTGTAATTTGAATTATGTGTATAAAAAAACATATCCACACAATTAATTCATTAATGATTAATAGCAATATTTGGTTTTAATGTTTGGAGTATACTCTATACATATCTATGACCACTTAACATCTAATCTACCATAAAATTCGATGATTTATTGAATATTGAATCTCAACAATATACAAAAAAGGCTTTTGGGCTAAAAACAATCGTTTGAAAATTGTAGTCTGCACAAGACTTTTGGTCTGTTGTAGTCATTACTCATTTTTATGATTTATGTGTGCGAGGCGAACGTTGACGGTGAGTCTGGGTCGCATTAAAATTATAGTATTGTGTGTAGAACATTTGACATTCTTTCAAAGATTATAAAAAAAAAACAGGAAAGTCACTCTCTGCTGTATCTGATGTATAGTAGGTTTCAAGTGTACCACCTCGTCGTTGAATAGGTCACTGTAATGGATGTGTAAAAATTGAATCCAATGATAAATCATTGTAATACAAAAAGCAAAGACGACGTGTCATTCTCTATTTCTGACTAGTCTTAGAATAAGCTAAAGATTATTCATTATAAATTTACATTATCATACTAATTATTTATTTTTTCAATCAGTACCAATAATGTATGTATATAATATATAATTTTCACCAAATAAATTGCATATATTATAGTATATATTATTTTTATTAAAATTTGAGTCATTATTGATGACGTTCATATAACAGTAGTACACTATAATAAATAAAATTATAATGCTTTGTGTTCACAGACAAAAAATGTATCATATATTAGTCAACAAATATACTCAAATGTATTAGGTTAGGTCGGGCTAGGTTCAAATAGCATCAACAAAAAAAAGGGAGAGTACAGGTAACCCATCTACCATAAGTATAGTATGAGTCGAAACCTATAATGTAATTCGTTATTAAAAGGTCTGTGATCTCTGTAATTAATGTCGATAATTTATTAAATTACAATTAAATTACAAATCATTGCATATGAAAAACAATTCTGAATTGAGATAGTTTATTATCATTTATATTAATACATATAATATATATGTATAATATATATATATATATTGATTATATAATTTTATTTTACTATTAGTAACATTATGATATAAGGTATAAATAAGTAACAGCATAAAATTAATCTAAACTTTTGAAAATGTCATTATGAGTATAAAATATAATAATGTATCTACATTAAAAGTTTCAACTTCCAAAGAAAGATATTTTTGAAATACTCACAACATTACATAAATTGTTATTCATCCTTTAAATATCTAATTTGTTTCAAATTTTAACTTAAAATATGCATTAAAAAAATGAATATATATTTTTAGATTTTTCCAATATGAACTTTTTACAAAGAACCTTGTATCTATTCAATTTTCAAGCCTAAGCTATACAAATTGAACATTTTATAAATGTTTAACTATAAGATTATATGATATAAAAATGTTGATCGACTTTCTTTTTTTATAAATTGTTTAGATAAATTATCATCATTAACATTTAAATAAAAAAAATATAAATATAATGGTGAATTATGAACTTGGGTAGAAATAAGGTTGATTACGTACAGGAAAAACAATCTTTAAAATGGACCAACAAATTGCATGGAACAATGAATAACGGATGTAGAGATAATTTATGACACTCTGAAAGGTCAATCGGTGGTAGATAGATGGCAACTGAAAACATTACTAAGCAGAGCAGTAACCTAGGTAGTGATGATATCGGGAGCCAGGTCTACGGTATACAGATAAAGTGGCTGAATACAGAGACATCGTTACATTTCTTAGGAAGATGACAAGGACAACTCTAATAAGTATCATTATAGAGAGAGGCCACTCTAATAAGCGTCGAGCAAAAGTTTCCAACCACGGCGGAGTCTTAACTCCTTCAAAATAATTAGATATGACGTACATACTAAAAATATACCAAAAAACGTATAAAACACCGTTATACACAGACTAATACCATAATTTGTATACGGGTGTACTTTATCTATTTATGGTAAGTACATTTTTTTAAATCTTAAGTTTTGTTGTTGTTAAACCATTTTACATTTAATAATCCATGTCACGTGATGGTACAAATATTTTTTGCAATGAGGTACAGCGTGACTTGTGTCAAACAGTAACAAAACATAACGATCATTCAAAAGGTAAAGTTAAGTTGACATATGTCAAATTCATCAATTAAAAAAAAAATATGTTTTTTTATAAATGGTAGAAGTTATATTAAAGTCATAAACCTTTGCATTTTTTCTAAACAAAAAGTTGATTCCAATGACTTGTCTTATTTTAATTGTCAGTGTAATAACATGTGTTAAAGTATTCAAAAATAGATACACGGATGCCAGTTAAAACAATAAATAAAGTGAACGAAATATGACATGAGACAAAATTATAAAAACAAAATGGCTTCTTTCCCGGGATCAAAGGATTATTTAATTAGGAATGTAAACATTTTTTTCAAAATTGTTGCCTTGCAACAATCCAATGTATCAAATTAAGAAATAAACATTTTCAAAAAGTATAGACACTTAAATGAATATATTTGTTTCATATTCATATTTAATATGATTAATTTGAAAATTGTATTATTATTGTTTTGCATAGTATACTATAATTGAATAAAAGTAGAAG